GAAAGAAGGGAGAGGAAGAGAGGGGCTTGAAAATGTACAGAGTCGAGGGGGGGGCTGGGGGTGAGAGAGACGCCGCCGTATCCTAGTGTCCAAGTCTATTGGGGAGAGGGAGAAGGAGAGGAGAGGAGAGGGGGGAACGCTACGTCCGCCATTTGGCGAGGCATGTGTCTTGAGACCGGCTTGTGAGTCGTTACATTTCTGGAGGAAGCATTTCGATGGCGTGTGGGAGAGTCAGCGCTCACGTTTTCTGCCGGCGACAGAAGAAAACACATGTTTTTGATGTGCGTTTGATTCTCGAACGGGTGGTTTCTCAATGATTGTACGTATGCATAATATATATATATATTTTTTTTTTCTCCTTTAACACATATGCATTTTGCTTGATGCTCCAGTCTCTTGGAAAGACTAGGGCAAGAATGTTCCAGCTTCTACGTGCTCGAGCAGAGGTATATGCCCGGTAGGAGTACTAGACAAGAAATGGTTGACGAGCGTGTTGTCCTAGACCCTGTCGACCTTACCCTACACCCGCCACCGACCGATTTCGCGTGTCCTCTGGCCGCCGATCTGCACACACCCAGCGTTGTCGTACTTCATGGAGACGATGGGGTGCCAGATGAACGTCGCGGACTCGGAGAGAATGGAGGGCCAGATGGCGGATCTTGGGTGGGTTTTCGCACGGGCTGTTTTTTTGTTTTGTCCAGCGTTCGCTCTCGCCACTTTTTTTTTGGCTGTTGGCTTGCTGTGGCCACGAACGGAGTCCGCGTTCAGGTGGATCGGTGCGGGCGTTACAAGGTACTGAGCAGAGACCGGAATGGTTTGCATCGTGAAGACAACAACAACGACTGTACGTCGCCGTCGCTCGGAAGCAGAACGTGGGAGCGTCAACGGCGAAACGGGCATATCTTTTGCTTAGGGGTGAAAGCTAGCTTGTGTAATCGTACCCAGTAATTATTGAAATTCTGTTGCAACCTTGTTTTCGTTACCTTGAAACCTTGAGCATCGGAGAAGGCCGAGTGTTGAGTTTTGCAATATCCCTTTGTAATCTGTCGGTTCACGCACAAGCTAAATAACGTCCTTTTTATGTGACGTTGAGACCGACCAAGGGTGAAGCAACGGCCGGCTTGTCCGGAGCGTTCCCCTCCTTGTCCGTCTTTCTCGCGTGCAAGCGTGAACAACGCCCTTTTCTGTGACGTTGAAACCCTTGCCCTTGCCCTGACCCTCAAGATCGATCGGACCAAGGTTAAGTCAGAGGCCGGCTTGTTCGAAGCTTTCCCCCCCGTCTCCATCTTTCTCGCGCACGAAGCATCAGCAACGCCCTCTTCTGTGACGTTGAAACCCTTGCCCTTGCCCTTACCCTTTCCTTAACGTTCTTTTTCGTTTCTGCGATGTTGAAACCCTCATACCCTCACCCTTACCCCTACCATATTTTTCTTTTTCTTTTCTGTGACGTTGATACCCTTACCCTTGTCCTTGTCCTTACCCTTGCCTCAGCATCCTTTCCTCCCTTACCCATACCCTGACCCTTACCTCAACAGTGCGTTACTATTCTGTGATGCTGTAACCCTTGCCCATTTCCTGACCCTTGCCTTATCGTCCTGTTTCTCTTCTGTGACGCTGAAACCCTTACCCTTGCCCTCAGGATTCAAAAGACCGAGGACAAGACGGAGGCGAGCGTGTTCGTGCTCAACACTTGCTCCATCCGCGACCACGCGGAGCAGAAGGTGTACTCGTACGTCGGCCCCTACGCCATCCGCAAGCAGAAGGGCGAGAACATCGCCATCGTCGTCGCCGGGTAAGGGGGTGCTGTTGTTGTTGTTTTTGTTGTTGTTGTTGTTGTTGTTGTTGTTGTTGTCATCGGGCTGTTGATGTTGTTGTCGTTCTCCTTCTTGATGTTGATCTTGATGTTTTTCTAGATGCTGGTGTTGTCGTTGTTGCAACTGTCATACAGCTGTTGTTGCGATGCCATTGCTGACTACGCAGGGATTGTCCCCAACCCCGCAATGTTCTCGGAGACAGGAGCCTAAACCGCGGATTTTTTTACCGAGGCCCCCCTCTGACTGTTTTCGAGCGACTCAAAAATGTTCATGGGCAAGACCAAGGAGAGTGCTGCCCGGAGTCATCGCGTCACTACTATCGTTGCTCTGATTGGTGTTGTGAAGCAACCCCGAGAATATTCAAAACGCTCACACCGTTCAGAGGGCACTGTTCGGAAAACAAAAAAAACTCTTGTTGGAATAAGTGTGGGCACAGCCTCGAACGTCCGCCGTCTGTGTGGACACGTTTACGGGTGTCCACGAGGACACGTTTACGGATGCCCACACAAGCGCACGTCTATGGGCACTCAGACGATATTTGCACCGCGAAGCAACCTCTTCAACATTCTTGGATGTATTGTTGTCGGTGTAATCCATTCCTCACCTCCCCACCGTCTGAAATACATGTTTTGACTATTTAAGCAATAGATGGCAAGGTACAGCAACACGTTTTCTTCATCCATTCCTTGCGTCGTCACACGTCGACCCCCTGGGCTTCCAGGTGCGTCGCTCAGCAAGAGGGCGAGAAGCTTCTCCGGAGGGTTCCTGAGATCGATCTCGTCATGGGGCCGCAGTACGCCAACCGGTTGGGAGACCTGCTCGAGGACGTCATGAACGGGAATCAGGTATTTTAGGTGCTGTAACTCTTGCCGTTACAGTTGTTTTCTCTTACAAGTGGCTGCTTTCGGCGTCCTCCCTTTTTTGGGATACTTGGATACGAGATCCGATTTGTGTGTAGGGGGTATTATGCTGTTGGGCGCCCCTCAATAGAGAGCACGCACATTGGTTGTGTTTCGTGTGTGCTGGAAGCAGCACGGTACATACTACCCAAGAACGGTTTATGCCGTCATCGTCCTGGGTCCACGTAGTCCCCATGTCCAACCCCAACTACCGCGAGAAGGCACGGGGGGTCCGACGGGATGGCGAATGTTGTACACACGGAAAGGACAGCATCTGCGGAAAGGGCAGCAGGTCTTCACGAGAAGCCCGCAACAGCGATGAAGTTCATCGCAATAATGGAGGGAAGGCTGCAATGAAAGATGATCGAAAGACGGCTGGGATTCAAACCGAGCAGGCAGCTGATGGAGCGTGTGGTGCCGGAGGTGTTTCCGGTGTGTCGGCAACTCTTCGAGATTTGGGGCTGGCTCACTCTCTACAGGAACCCTCATGCCTAGTACAGCTGCTGCTAAACGGTCCCTCCAGCAAGGAGGGAGCTTCATCAAATAACCACGGCGGAAATTTGGTCGAAGAAATGAACGCGCCCTACAGCGTGGAAAGGTGCGCACTTCGGGACGAAGATGGTTACGAATGTGTCGTGTGGAAGGTGCCAGACTCGAGGAGATTCGCTGCCGTTCTACAGTCTAGCGACCGCGCTGGGAGGGAGGCTCTCAGGCGATCATTGTCCCAAGTCAAGATACGCGTAGAACAAAGAAACCCGTTCATTGCTTTGACGGAATCTTCACAAGCCTGCTCGCTGCGCAGGACCCAAACATTCGGAAGCGGAATTTTTTCTATTGCTCCGACACGGAGAAGAAGCCCACTCTCATGGCCGCGGGGATGAGTTGTTGTGAATTGCTTAAGGACGCGAAGTGCGCAGCGCGATCTCGGTAGCACAGAGCGACAGACAGCCCGCTGCGTCCAACGACCCGCACGCTCTTCGTTCCAGCAGAGCAGTGGAGGCGACTTTCGGGGGGGAACAATGACAACGATGGGTTCCGATGGCAGCGCGGGTGGGCATCTCTGTTCAAGGAGGATTCTCCCTCGCGGTCATGAGCAGATGGCCAGAACGGGCAAGGAGGTTACCAACGCCAGCAGCGTGACCAACGGCAGCGGCAGCAGCAGCAGTTTTATGCCAGGAGCGGGGTCGGTGGAGGGGGCGGCAACGGCGGAGGGCGGCACCGGTCGCGATGACGGTGTCAGGAGCAGGGTCGGTGGCGAGGGGGGCATTGGCGGTGGCAACGTCCCCGCAACGGTGTTCTCGGCGGAGAAGGCGTCGTGCAACCCGTCGCCATAGGCAGCCGGCGACCATGCCGGCGGCCATTGACATGGACAACCTCATGTCTCCCTGCGCCACGCCAACGGGCGTCTCATTCGCGAGGCGGCGCGGCGGATGGGCATCAAGGTATCCCTGTCGTTCTGCGACGGGTGCGCTGTAGATAAGGGCACCCTGCCTCGGTCGAGACGACCACACCAACTACGGCATGACATTTTTGCCGGGGACAAGAGAGAGCCCGCGACCGTACGCGTCCTCTCCAAAGCATACCCTCATTGCGATCGCCAAATGCCTTCAAGGCCTTGTTTTGTAAGATTTCTCCCCCAGTCCCCGCTATGCGAATGCTCCTACCCCCCCCCACCCTCATCGCTGCCACCGTTCCTGCACGAACGCGCCAATCAGATCGTTGCGACCGATCCCTCCCTGATCATGGAGGACGTGTCCAAGCCTCGCAGGGGCAGCTCGACGTGCGCATGGGTCAACATTATCTACGGTGTGTCTGTAGATGTCGTAGATTTGGTGGATTTGGCGGTACACTGCTGATACTTCACAGAAGATGTGATCCTAGCATTCACATGTGAATATTTAGATCGCCGTACAACCACCTTGATGGTGACCTCTGTTGCCTTTTTGCTCTCTCAGGTTGACGACATATACGTGTCGAAAGATGGAACGACCACGTGCCGCGTCGTGTCTATTTAGTTTGTGGTGTTTCCTGTGCTTGTTGTCGTCGTGTTGTTTATGAGTTATTAGTGCTTGTTCTTCTACGATCCTGTTTTTGAGGACACAGGCTCCCGTCAGCGACAGAGGCCGATGCCATTGCAGTATTCACCCACTTTTGCCAAGGTTGGCTTATGTCCTTCCGTGCGATGTAGAGAGAGAGAGGTAGAGAATTAGCGACCAGAGGGCAGAGGGAGGAGAGTCGAAGACTCTCCGCCCCGACTCTCGGCAAGCGGTCAAAGAACACGGAAGTGACAGATATCAAAACGATGTATTTCTTGTCAATCTCCCGATGGCAAAGTTTCCCCGATGGATAGTATCTATTCTTTGTATGTGCACAAATGGTTGGTTATTCTTCCGACAGGTGTCCTTCAACATTTTCTTGTTTTACTCATTTGGTGTTTTTGTGTTTTACACTAGTTTTTCCTTCCGTCTGGCTTGTTGATTCTACGTGTTTCCAGGATGCAACGAGCACTGCACCTACTGTGTCGTGCCCGGCGTGCGTGGAGTCGAGCAGAGCCGACCGAAGGAGTCGATCCGGCAGGAGATGGTCGAGCTCGCCGCCGCGGGATACAGGGAGGTGCGGAAGGAGGCTTTTTTATTGCGGCTGCTAATGGGGAGGGAGGGGGGGGGGGGGGGGGGGGGGGAGGGAGCANGGGGGGGGGGGGGGGGGGGGGGGGGGGGGGGGGGGGGGGGGAACACTCACATGTTGTATTCGTTGATCTCTTGACCACTGGTCATGCAGGCTTTTTAGCGAGAAAAGGCACCACAATAACAGCAACAACACAACAATGACAACGAAAAGTAAGCCCACGCGTGTAACGCTCCCAGGTGACTCTGCTGGGCCAGAACGTGGACGCGTACGGGCGAGACATGAACCCGAGGAACTCGTTCGCCGACCTGCTGCATTACGTGTCCGATGTCCCCGGGATCGAGCGCGTGCGGTTCGTCACGAGCCACCCTCGGTACATGAGCCTCGACGTCGTGGACGCCGTGGCCAACCTGCCGTCGATGGCAGAGTGCTTCATGGTGCCTTTCCAGAGCGGAGACAACGAGGTTGGTTGCTGCTGCTGCTGCTGCTGCTGCTGCTGTTGTGGTGGTAGTTGAAGCGTCTGCTGTTGTTGTCGCTGTAGCAGGGGAGTTTTTCAGAGCGGAGAGAACGAGATTGGTGGTACTGCTGGTGGTGGTGGTGGTGGTGGTTTTAAGCGTCTGCTATTGTTGTCGCTATCCTTGCTGTGGTTGTTGTCGTTTGATTGAGTAATAATGTGGCATGTAGTTTTTCCTTCTTGATTCGTTTGAGATTCGCTGGGCTCTTCGTGTCAAAAACAGGACAGCTTATGTGAGCTGTTCGAGCTTGGAAAACGTCAACGATGGCCAGGTTTACTTTCATCTTGCATCGTGCCCTGATCATAGTATTTACTACTATCCTCCGATGAGCCCACTCTGGAGGCGCGCCTTGTAAACAAGTATAGTATGGTTGTTGGATGGGACCACTATTTTTCGATAGCAGAAGTGCCTCCATTACAACAACAACGTTGCCGCCGACGATTGGTGACACAGCAGTGGCAGTATCCGCAAGCTGCTGTCGGGTATTGTTCATACCGTAAGCGGTTGCGAGTGACCGCACCCCCATGTGGTCGTTTTTTAAAACATTTCCGCCGTTCAATTTGCATCGCACCTGCACGATAACTCCGGTATGTGCGGTCCTGAGTAAACCCTTTAAGGCGATATTAGCAGGAAATGCCGGTGGAAACAGTGGAAACACCAATGTGTTCAAGTTTACCTATCAAATGGAAAGACCAATGTGTTGCATTTCCTTCATACCTCCACGTGTGGTGTGCGACAGCAGAGCTTAAATACCAGCACTGGCATGGTTGCAGGGGTGGAAGTTGCCCCGGAATCGCTGGTACTCAACTACCCTAGGTTGCGAGTAATCGCACCCCTGTGCGGTGACTCCGGACCCTGTGCGGAAATCGAATAAATCATTGGGTCATTTGATTTGCATCGCGCCTCGGTGCGATGACTCCGGACCGTGTGGTGACTCGCAAACTAGTTACGACACTTTTGACAGGACTGTGGTGGTGAGCTATCTTGTTGCAAACACCGCCGAGTCGGCGCTGATCGAAGAAGAGCATGCGCAAAAGGGCTACTATCTCAATAGTCTCGCGAACTAAGGCATGCAAAACATGATTACGCCCCCCCCGCCCCCCCGCCCCCCCGCCCCCTCCGGATTATCTGTGTGTTGTGTGACGTTTTATCGCGAACTCAACCGGAAAGGTGTTGAAGAACATGCGAAGGGGCTACACCATTACGCGGTACATGCGCATCATCGACCGCATCAGGGAGGTGTGTCTGTGTGTCTGTGTGTCTGTATGTCTTTTTTAAAATAGCATCGACCGCGCTAACCGACTGACCAAGACATGACGTCGTTGTAGCAGGATCAAAAACTCGACCACGCTTTCTAATCAAGGGATTGAACCGATGGGTATTCTGTGTGTCTTTGTTGTTAACATCGATCGCGCTGTCTATCCGGTCGACCAATCAAAAATCGTCAGTCTCGGTGCGACTTATGATGGAAGACGACTCTACAAATGCCATCATCCGGGGGGCCGCGGGGAGTCACGTGTGTGTTTGTGTAGTGTGTCTTTGTTATTATCATCGACCGCGCTAAACGTCTGACCAATGAAAAGACGTCAGTCTCAGCGCGGTGGAGAACACAAAATGCTTCCATTGGCCACGATCTGGGATCTTGTGACCGAGTGTCACGGGGGAGTCTACGCTACCCTCCGGATTAAGACACAAGCCGTAACAAAAACAGTGTTGCGGGTGTGAGGGTAAAGCCGGCTGCTTTCGTCGTTGCCATGTTATGGCACGTTACTATTTTTCATTCGAGGGGTATATCTATGCTTGCACAAAGAAGGCGGCAGTTACTGCTGCTGCTGTCTCGTCGTCTGGTCTGAGGCTGACGTAGCTGATGCCGTTGCCGCTCATGCTGTGGTACTGCAGCTTTGTGTCTTGTGTTTGTTGCCCCTGCCAATAGCGTCTACTCTCACCGTCCCTCTCGCTCTCTCGAAGAAACTCAGCCCCGATGCCGAACGCGACCATTTCATTGCTGAATTCTATGTTTCACCCCGCCGCCTACATCGCAACTCCGCAAATATTCCTGTACGGCCGACAAACGTTCACGTGTTGATGTTATCCTTTCCTCCATCATGTCTGTCGTATCCCCCCTCTCTTCCGGGTTGGCAGCTGTCTCCCGACGCGGCGATCACCGGGGATGTGATCGTCGGCTTCCCCGGTGAGACGGAGGAGCAGTTCCAGCACACGCTCGACCTCATGGAGCGGGTGAAGTTCGACAACCTCAACACGTTCAGGTACTACTGCTATTTTTGGGCCGAAGGGCACGGCGGACTTCGTTTGTTGGGTTGTAAGGTTTCAGAGTGGGGTTTGCTGGTGGCAGAAGATTTTTTGGATAAAACCGCAGGACGTTTGTCATGCGTGTTGGCGGAGAGGTGGGTGATCGGCTGTAGAGGGAAGGCCGCTGTTAACGTATGGTAACACACCTGTACGGTAGTCAGTTCTGAGGCATGGTGCTTACGACCTTTGTCAGTCCTCCAGACTACTGTCTCGTGTCTGTCTCCCTCTTTCGATCTATTCTGTTTTTGTCGTCTCTGTCGTCCTCCCCCCCCCCCCCCCCCCCCCCCCCCCCCCCCCCCCCCCCCCCCCCCCCCCCC